AAATGCCAAGAAGATTCATACCCAAAATGAACCTAAAGGTTGAAAAATACCTGCTAAAGATGACAGAACAGTTTTTTTTTTTTTTTTTGCGGTACGCGGGCCTCTCACCGCCGTGGCCTCTCCCGTTGCGGAGCACAGGCTCCGGACGCGCAGGCTCAGCGGCCATGGCTCACGCGCCCAGCCGCTCTGCGGTACGTGGGATCTTCCCGGACCGGGGCACGTACCCGTGTCCCCTACATCGGCAGGCGGACTCTCAACCACTGCGCCACCAGGGAAGCCCAACAGAACAGTTTTTTAAAAATACGTTTAGAGCAAGAAGAGCAAGGATAGGATAGACATTCAACTCATGGAATAATATCGAATGACTGTATCTTTTTTGTGAAAAAGAATGATTCTAGACTTAAAAGGGTAGTCAATATCATAACCACAAATTGAAGCCTAAGATAGGCAAGGTGTTCCTAAGAAGGCACTCAACTGTTCTAAATGAATTAAAATTACATTGCAGAGTGGTGAGAGGTCTTGTGGATTGGATGGCCCAGTCATAGTTGCTAAAGTTTTGGGACTGTGGTATGGGTGACGTATGTCAGAAGACTGGAGACCTTAGTATTGGCTTTGGTTTTGGAAAGGGACAGAAAGCACATGGGATCCTTAGATTAGGCAAGGGACATCATGTTGATTGAGTGCAAAATCCTAAAACAGGTTATTTAAAGGATGATTTGTTAACGCTTAAGAAAAAAGTAGTAACCGTCAGAAGGCAGCATAAATTCTCTAAGAACAAGTCATGTTAGACAAATCTCATTTCATTTCTATTTTTGATATCATTATTGGATTGGCAGATCAGTAAAAATGTAGGCACTCTATCTGGATATCAGCAAGGCATTTGACAAGGTCTCTCATGATATGCCTGTGAACAAGATGGGGAAATGTGGGTTGTATGCTAGTAAAAGAATGCTGCCTGATGGATAAATGTCAACCTGCTGCGAGGTTTCCAGTGGCATGCCACCAAGCTCTGACCTTAATATTATCCTATATAACATTTTTATTAATGACTTACATAAAAATGAGGAAAACATACCTAACAAACTTACAGATGATACAGTTATGAGAGCAATAGAATGCAAATATTGGGATGGCCAAAAAGTTCGTTCGGGTTTGCAACATCTTATGGGAAAACCCGAACAAACTTTCTGGCCAACCCAATACTTTGGATGGCAGAATTAGAATTCAGCTACATATCCACAGGTTAACAAGATGAAATCAAATTAGGCCAAATCAAACCTCTAAACCTATTTACACCTAAATCTTCCCAATCCCAAACACATAATTAAAATACCCACCAACTCTATAATTATAGAATAACTAAAATGTGGCTTAGCCTCAGAACTCGTTTAAAAGTTTTAAGAGTTTAGTTACTTAGTGTTTTCGGTGTGTATCAGTAGTTATGTGTTCATCAAAAATGCTGATATTGGAGTAGACGGCATTAAGAGAAACTTTTAGTTAGAACAGGAGAGACATCTGATTGTTGGTCATAGCATAAATTCCTGAATGAGTCAGTCAAGTTGATTGTCTGCTGAGACTTCCATCTAAGGTACATCAGATCTGCTCCCAGCTCTTGCTCAGGGGCAGCCATAGGTGTCCATGCTGTTGCTTTTTAAATCACATGATCTTTCTCTCCCCTTAGTCTCAACTGACTGAGAGAATAACTGAGAGGGCTTGCCAAGAAACTTAAACACGGCCTGGTACAAAAGGGATGAACTGGGCTAATCAAATTCACTCTCTTAAGTTTTTTTTTTTTTTTTTTTTTTTTTTTTTTTTTTTTTTTTTTTTTTTTTTTTTTTTTTTTTTTTTTTTTGCGGTACGTGGGCCTGTCACTGTTGTGGCCTCTCCCGTTGCGGAGCACAGGCTCCGGACGCGCAGGCTCAGCGGCCATGGCTCACGGGCCCAGCCGCTCCGCAGCATGTGGGATCTTCCCAGACCGGGGCACGAACCCGTGCCCCCTGCATCGGGCAGGCGGACTCCCAACCAGTGCGCCACCAGGGAAGCCCCTCTCTTAGGTTTTTAAACCTAGAGCTAGCAGGAGAATTAGGCAGGTAGCAATGGGGCAGGCGGTGAAGGGATAAAGTAAGAGGTGCTGGGAAGTATACTTGGAGTCATGTAGTACAATGAAAACCTGACATTGCTATGAGAAGGTAGAAACTATGTGGTAGACAAAAGAAATATTAAGCTGACAATAAGCTATTGGGCAAAGAAAAAGACAGAGAGTGGCAAAACTGCAGAGAATTGCTGAGTCATATTGGTGCCAGAGATCTATAGGCCTCATCCTTCCTTGTGGGTTGACCAGTATTTCCTGGGTTCCCAGGGAGACAGAACAGTCTTAAAAAGATGTTCTCAATTATTTGAGGCAATTTGAATGACCTCTGCTCCTTTCAACCAAAGAGCCTAATAACCTATACCTGCATTCAACCTTGGCCGTGGCACTTCAAGAGCAGTCTGGATGGACTGAAGTATGTTCTAAGGGAAGAGACCAGGATGGAGGATTTGAAACCAGTTAATGTGAAGAGCAAGTGAAGGAACTGAGGAAACATTTAGTAGAGAAGTATCAGCAACAGTGAAGGGCCGTCAGGCGTGAGAGGGTTTTTATTTATTTTGTGAGACCCTAGAACTAGACCTGGGAGGAGTGGGTAGAGTTAAGAGGTGGGAGATTCTGGTTCAATAAGACTCTTCTGGTAGTTGTCTGAGATGAAATGGAATATGCCTTAGGAATGAGTCCATTCCTTATTTTGGAGATATTTAGGCAGAAGCAGGTAACCACTTAGTAGGGAGAGCAAGATTACCTTTAAATTCTATAATGCTTTATGATGTATGAGGCACATTCTGTTACACTAGCTTGATCTTCTTAACAATCTGTTGAGACAGGCATTTTTATTTATTTATTATTTTTGAAATCGAAGTATAGCTGGCTTACATATCCACTGTTTTATTTATTTATTTTTTTGGCCACGCTGTGCAGCAGGCGGGATCTTAGTTTCCCAACCAGGGATCAAACCTATGCCCCCTGCATTGGGAGCGCAGAGTCTTAACCACTGGACTGCCAGGGAAGTCCCGAGACAGGCAATTTTATATTCATGTTTACAGATGAGGGAGCTGAGGCTCAGAGTGGTATGTCACACAGCTCATAATTAAGTGCCAGGGTACTCACAGAGTTACCTTCTATTGACTACATGTGAAATGAACACCGTAAAGGATATATTTGGAAAATCCTTGCTGATCAAGCTGATAGGGTTTCTAGGTTTTTTTAAACTCAACTTTGTGATGTTGAATATATTTTCAAATGTACTAAAAAGGTACTCTCTCTCTGCTCAGTCTCACATGAAAACTTATGTTCTTCTCTGCGTCTTATGAAACTGAGACCAATTAATACATTCCTTGCATAGATACAGAAGGTCCGTGGGTGCAGTTTGTACAAACATGCCTAGATGTACATTTCAAATAAGAATAGTTTTCTCTTCCCATTTGCCTGAGCCCATTCCCCACCCTCCTTCCAGATTTCCTGTTATTTGGCTTCTTAGATGAAAGAAGTGTGTTTGCTTATCAAGATTGCTAGTTAACCAGATTGGCCCACTGCTTTCTTAGCTATCACTAGGCCCTGCAAAGGAATTAAAAGAAGAGTGAGTAAATCACCAGCGTTAGTGAAAACTCCTTGAAGATATACACTGCTCTCTGCTTCTCTCACTTCATGCACTTCCCTGCCTTTCAATTTAAAAATCAAAAAAAAAGGAACGATACACAAACCTTATCACTAGCACAGTGATAATTCAGTTATCTTCACCATAGGTGCTGACTGATATTTTACCTCTTGGGAAAGATTAGAAATATCAGTTTATGAAACTACTTAGTCTAGTTAGTGATGGATGATATAGAGTTTCCTGGATTTGGGCCATAGTGCCATCAGTTTGTTGGTGGTGACATATTCCTGATGCTATGGCTGGCACTTAAGTTAATATGCTGCTAAAGAAAAATAGTCTTATAATGTGAGTTTATTAGTCTTCCCCTTTCCATTCCAATTCTCAGATTATTGGGACAGAAGTTGATCAGAGTTGACACCAGACATTGCTTATGAAGTGATATATTATACCCACAGTGTTTACACACAAATGTGTTTAGAAAAAGCTTTGGTGGTAGATCTAAAGACGACATACAGAAGACAAGGGGAAGTCCTTCAGTTTAACAAGATAACAGAATACTATGTTTTATTAGTTAATGTTTTTCTACTTTAATAGAAAGTTGTAATTTTTGACTTGAGAGAGTAACTAGAAATGATGAATAATTTCTCAATTAATCGCATCTAGTGCTAAAGTCTATTATGATCAAGGCACACAGAACTGTGGAGGAGTAGAACTTTAATCACCTGCCAGAGACTTGAGGAGGAATCTGGAAACCTAATATATGAAGCAAGAGAAAAACAGAGGCAAACTTTTTGCTCAAAAGATCAAACTTCATCCTAAAGGCAGAATCAAGTTTTTGAAATTACACATGGACTTCAGATGGAGCAAATCCTTTTTAAAAATGTTTGAAGGCAACTTACTTTGTCAAAGAATCTTAAAATAAATAAAATGTAAACTATCGCTGTTCCTCCAATTGTGTCTGGATTTTCCTGTAATATCGCAGCATCTGAAAACAAGGGACAAATGTCTTTTCCTTCGAGGATACAATGACAGTTTGGGTAATTGCTTGGTTTCCTATGTTTTTTGTGGGTGTCCACCATAGGGGTGTTGATGCATCTGTGGTTTCCTCTTTACACCGGCGTCTGCTTTGGTCTGTGGCTGTGCCTGGATCTAGATGGTGTGCCTGTGGAGGGGTCTGCCTTTTTGCCCAGGCATCTGGGTGTGTATCTGTGTGAGTATTTGTGCGTCTCTGCAGATGTCTATGCGTTTCTGCACTCAGTGGAATCATCCTGTGCCAATATTTAAGTTCAGTGGGATCGATAATAGCTCAAGTACCTGGTCTCCAACGGAATGTTGCTATTCAAGACCCAGCTGTTATGCAGATGAACTGAATCCTGTGTACTGGTTGGGGGAGCTGGAGCGGCCGGGCTGGGCTGGCTGCGGGTAGTCATTGATCTCCTCTGGAGAGAGTCAGCGGCAGGGGGCGGCTTCCTGGCGCAGGTGCAGGCGTGCGGAGGCGGCGGCGGCGGCGGGAGGGGTCTGAAGGTGAACTGGTTGTGTGAGCTGCTCTGCATGTCTAAAGAGGAGAGAAGGAGAAAAACACAAAATAGACACAGACTCTCTCACTTGGCAGGCAGGAAAACAGCACGGCAGACTTATCAGGATTTCAGAATAATATAACCTGTGGGGTGGGGGGAGAGTCTGAAGTTCAGTCTACTTGTAAAAATGTCACTTAACTTACAAAAACACGTGCAGCACGCTTATGAAATGTAAAACATTCACAGTCGCATTTACATGTAAATTCTTCAGGGCTATAGCAGCTCAAAAGTAAATGAGGCCGCCTCACACAATTTGTCATCGTTTCTGCTACTGAACAAATAAATCATCAACAAGACACTGAATTACAGAACAGAAGTGAGCCGATTTCCATCGGCTGCAAAAGTCTCACTTCGGAAAACACCAGTGAAAGGGACAAATTTGTTGCAAGGAAGATCATTCCACACTTCAAATAAAAGTATAAGGCCACCTTCTGGCTTTCCTCAGGAAAGGATGCTAGCCTGCCTACATGGGAGCAAATCCATACTTCGGAAAAACAGCTCACAAGTGTGTAACTCAACTGTGTGAGACTAATCTCTCCGCCAGCCCCCCAACTCAGGGTGCTACTTATAAAAGGGAGGCTAGAAGGCGTTTGTTCAGGTTGTCACACATACTTCCACGGCCATGCAAAGCACAGTCCACACTCCACCCACCTTTGCCACACCCTTCTAGAAGCTCTACCATATTAGCTGCAGCTTAGGCAGCAGATAAACTGTTTTTTCTGCCTGTTTGCAGAGGGGGCAGCCTGGGACAGCGGTCCTCAGACTTCTGTTGTTGCTATGGTTTGGTATTTTTCCTCCGTTTTCCTGGCAGGCACACGTACACACAGTAAGTTAGAATTTGGCCCATGAGAAATACCCCAATTAAACCTCTTTGAAAAGAAATGACTATTGTAGCTGATAACCACCTCTCTTTCACGGGAGAAACATAGTAGATGTCAAGTGACTTCTTGTAACACCAGCACATTCCAGATGAACTTTGTAGACAGCATGGCTTTGTCCCACCTCCCAAATGACTGAGAGTTGAAAAGCAGAAAAATGCCACAGGCTTTCGATGCCCAGCAAAGGGCTCAGATGGTTTGTGCTGAGACTCACTTTGCAGTGGCTGATCACAGAAGAAAAACAAAAAAATCACTCTTTTCAACCCTTCCACCTCAAACTTGAATTTTGAAGACACAGGCATCATTTTCGTATTTTAAAACGATACTAGTGCCCCAAGAGCATGACAAATTCTTGGCTGTGTTTTCTAGTACAAGTGGCTCTCCCTTTAAATAAGCTTGCTATATGAAGAACGGAACTGTACAAAAGATAAGGAGTGATGATCATTCATTTTATACAAAAAATTCCTTTAGAAAGTCAGCTACCCTTGTATATTTAAAAGGAACTAAAATGCTTCATGAATTTTCTAAATCACCCCCATTACTCCAGGCCCAGCCCAAATCCCATATCCACTAAAAATATCATCACAAGTACTTAACATCTCGTTAATTTTTTTAAACCTCTGGGCTCATACTCATAACCTTAACCAGAAGCATGCTTTCCATCCTTGGGGCTCAAAGAAGCATTGAATGCTGGAACCCAAAACACCTGGGGAGACTCTAATTTTGTAGATGAGAAAACTGATGCCCAGAGAATTGCTTGTCCAGACACTTGGCAAGTTAGTGGCATGGCCTAGATCAGAACCCACACCTCCTGACTGTGGCCAATGCTCCATTCACTGTCTTGCAGATCGCTGTAATACAAGTTCTCTTTACTTCCTTAAGATACAGAGATACAGATTCCTCCACATTTTCTGGATTCTTCACTTATGACACACCACCTGCACTGCAGTTATTTGCTTCTATGTCTGCTCCCCTCTTAGACCATTACAAAGGAATGCATACTGGTGCAATGGTGTGCAGCACAGCATAGTGGAAAGGGCACAGAACTTGGGGGTACGAAAAGCCTGGGTTTGAGTTCTGCCTCTACCGTTTGGAAGTTTTACCCCCTCATATGTTAAATGGAGATAATAATCCTTTTTCCTAATAATTAACTTTAATTCATGTAAAATGTGCTCAGACGTAGTATTTCAGTGACTGTCTTTTGAAGGTAGCAGGAGTATAAAATTTTAAGACTGGAGAATTCCTTGGTGGTCCAGTGGTTAGGATTCTGCCCTTTCACTGCTAGGAGCCTGGGTTCAGTCCCTGGTCAGGGAACTAAGATCCCGCAAGCAGTGCAGCACGGTCGAGAAAAAAAAAAAAGAGACTGGAATTGACCATAGGAATCACCTAGTTCAGCCCTCCCTCATTCCCTCTCCATTTTACAGCTGAGGAACCCAAGGCTCAGAGAGGTGAAGTGATTTGTTCAAAGTCATTCACCTTGTATGAATTTGCCTGCCTATGTCTGATGATTCCCAGCCCAGAACTCTTTGCATTATACTACTCCAGAAAATAAATGACTCTCTTCTCTGACTTCAACACTTACTATTTTTATCATAAAATTGGCCTCTGAGTTTGCAATTTTACAACATTCCCTTGCTATTCCATGTTTTTGTCCTATCTCCCCAAAGGGACAACATGTTTCTTAGAGCAAATCACCTTCTACCTTTCTTGAATGCCATGTAAGATTGAGCACAGTGCTGGGTACAGAGTAAGATCCCTAAAAGTTTTTATTGATAGCAAAGTGTTTCACTGGTCTGTGGGACCTAGAGAACCACCCTTAAGGTTCCCTTGGCTCTTTCATTCTGATATAGCCACTGGATTTCTAGACAGCTCATAGAGCACTAGGTTTCCCCCTTGGAGGTCTCAGTGACATCTCTCCCAGAACCATGGGGAAGGACAATGATACCCTGAAGAGGGTGCTTAAAATCATGCCCTCCAAGATGCGAAGAGAGCAGCAGTGACACACTCTACAGATTTGTCACCTAAGTACATGAACTTAATGATGCAAGGAAGGGAAGCAAAAGGTGGGAGCCCAGAGTTAGAAAGAAAAGGAATCAGTTTTAGGTCTTGTGTTCAGAACACCTTCCAAGCAACACGTGTGACATCTACTAGCCTAATGAGTAGGTGTTTCTGTCAGTACAGCTGTTCGAAAGAAAGAAAGTTCCTGTTCAGTACAATTGTTCAAAAGAAAGGATCACTCATTATCATTTGGATTTACTGCTTGTTGGATTTCCTCAAAATCTTTGCAACTCCTTTCTAACTATGAAAAATGATAAAAATTCTACTTCATTGAAAAGTACAATCATTCTATTATTATAACATATTATATCATTTCTTCCACAGGTAGTACTGCTTTGTATAGTCATTATGATTACATATATCGATTATATGTATTGAAAACATATATTTTGATTATATATATGTATATTTTTATTTATATCTATTTTATTGTCTATTTTTGTTTCCACATTTTAAATATGCAGAGGTTTCCCTACTTGTTAATACTGTCTTTAAAATTCAGAATATTGGACTGAGTGGAATATATCCGGACCTTAAGCCTTTATGAAGTGCAAATCATCTCGGCTTCATTCTCTTTTTCACCTCAGGAAAAAGATGGGGAATGCACTGGTTCCCTCCCAAATGAAGTAATTTCATCCTTGGGCTCCATGAAACAGGACTTCTCAACATTAAATACTAATAAAAAATACATTAAGGTTCAGTGTCAGGAGCTCTAGAACACCAGTTCCAAGGGGTTAAGAGTCACATGCACTCACTTCCAAACGTATCTGGCAACCATACGTTTCTGTGCCCAAGAGAGACACACAAGGGAGAAGGGGGGAGTAGTGATTATGCAAATATGGGTATCCAGACATACTTATAAAGCTTTCTGAAAGTAAATTAAGTTTTCAGATGGAAAGGTCTAATTCACGTAATATACTTGGAGGGGAGCCAGCTTCAGGTTTCAGGTCCTAAAATAACTTGGAAAGAAAATCTCTCGGGGGGTGGGGGGGTGGGAGTCCTCCAAACTCTATATCCAAGGCATTTTAGGTGTGGCAGAGCTGTTAACTGAAGCATAAACCTTCAGAAAAAACATTATCCTTGTTGTCAAAAGGTAAGTGGGAGAAGAAAGTTGTCATGCATAGACTTTTTTTTTTCTCTTTTTCTGCAAATAAACCTTCTTCTGGATCATGTGTTAGAGAAACTTTTCACCAGAAATTAGAATATATCTGCCCAGAAACACTGTGTGGGAACTTCTCAAGGTATCCGCCAGGGTGTTTTACCCCTTTCATTTCATTAACACATACGGTCAATTCAGCTATAAGGTGATGTTTGCATTTTGAAAATTCATTGCATATCACAAAATCATGCATGGGTAAGGGGCTTATGGGAAAAATGGGGTTTGGGCACAATACCTGAATGTGCTTGTGAAAGTGGGTGTCAGAAGGGTTGCAACTTGTGAGTTATTGTGCAGTGGTGGAAGGAGGGTTATCTGAATCAGACAGAAAGTTCTAACACCAGATGTGGATGGGCAAGGCTTCTAATACATGTGGTGAACGAAGATAGCTGGTGGATGTTTCAGATGTAAGCATGTGTGCATTTTGTGTATTCCTCCATGGCTCTATCTGCTGTATGCAGTTTCCTGCACTCACCTAGTATTTTTAACAGATGGATCACACATATGCAAACATGCAATTTCTCTTACGTTCAAATTGTTCTCAAATATACCGATAGCATGGGAACAAATTAATGTTTTCAAAACATGCACTGTAGCAGAACTGACTGTACACGCAAAATAACTTTCGGTAGGTGTTAAAAAAATATTGTCATTAATATGGTAAAGTCAAATAGATAATTTTTCTTGAACAATTTGGCCAAAGTGGACACAGGCCTAGTTTTTTAAACTCCATGTACTTAATTAATTAATTGATCATTCTTTTCTATAGTGACACTATGACAATATCCCCCAAAATATGTTTTTTCCGAAAGTCACTATACAGTATACATTGCAAAAGGGGGCGCATATATTCCTATAGTTCTAGGAAAAGGTCACAGAAGGTCAG